CTCCCCTCTACTTCGGAGTTGGGGGCCTCCGTGGTAGAGAAGGAACTGAGGAGACCGGCCACGCATGCGTACTATTAACCTAGAGGCACACCGGGGGGGGCAGCTTCTGAGCATGCGTGGCCGCTATGAGTACTGCTGTAAAAATCTCCGGGCGAAGGCGCAGGGACGCACCAGCACCTACAGTGGAGCACCCACAGGGACATCTCTCGAAGAAGAAAGCTTCTTTCCCAATTTTAAGAAGTTCTAGCCTTCCCATTGGCTCTTTTGGTTAGGTGCCCTTTTCTTTACCTGGAGGACTTTGTTAACCCTTTACAGGTAAAGCAAGCAGAGAACAGCCACCAAGAGGGTGTCTATAAAAGGAGCTCCCCCCCTTTATTTATCTCAGGCTCTACCAAACATTAAGCATTATCATCAAGCTAGTCAAATAAAAAACCTGATATACTGCATAACACCAAATCCTGATAAGCACTGGGTAGAGACAGAACAAGGTCATTGTTGTGCCATCAAACTCCACATGATTCCCTGGATAAAGAATTCCCATAGGCCAAAACCAACTGCGAATTGAATAGCCAGCAAAAGCAGATTTTTGCATCATCGCTGAATGGCTGAAAGGTAGGGAGCTTCAGTAGAGGAGACAGCAGGGGCTGTAGGAGCATTTTGGCCTGAAAGTGATGACAGAGATTTGGCCAAGAATGGAAGAAAGCAACTGGGAGAAGAAGACATTGGGGAAAGTTTGAACTAGGAAGTGCCACAGTTGGAAGAGTGGGTATAGCCAAGAGTTTTGGAGGAGATGAGAAGTTAGCATTTGGAAGTGGGAAAATATTGGCCAATTTGAACAAGGAAATGAAAACAGCAGTTGCAAACAGAGGGAGTGAAGCCTAGAAAATGTCTGGAAATATACTTTTTATTTAACTTAAGTGACAGCACAAGCCATACGGGAAATGGGCTTGTCTTTACTATTTATATATACACATATATGTAAATTCCCACATGTGCATAACAACAGCTGCTAAACACTTTGGACCAGATTCATCCATGGTATACCCTCATTATTTTCAGTGAAGTTATATCATGAAAGAACTTGGCTCTTTACCTCCCTGATGTAACTTTGAACATGTGACTGTAAGTAAAGCACAACAGATAATGTCTGCTTCTGGATGTCTGCTTTCTCTTCCTGGGCAGAAATGCATCACATTCTTTTTATGCGCCCAAAACTACAAGGTATTGTGCACACCTACATGCTACCAAGCAGACGCTGATGCTAACAGGCCTTGAGGGTGTTCAGCAACTCACTGTTCTGAAACTTTAATACTTAAAATCTAGCTGTTGGAAAGTAGGATGCATCACTACCAAGGCTTTGTATCAACATACAACATAAAAACCTTTAACTGCACCTCAGTGCTCGCTCATAAGCAGTATGTGATGCCAAATCAAGGTTTCACCAGCGGAGTTAATATTGACCTTGCTTGTTTTGAAAGCTGGAGTCTTCAATGTAACTATCATCAGTTAAATCTTTTGCATATTTTTAAAGCTATTTTACATTTTTGTTTGTTTAGGGTAATGATTATAGCAGAGCTCCTCAGTCCTCCAACTTCCATCTTGTGATGAGACAACCCAACATACACTGGGCTGGTGATGTCAGCGTGTAAGTCAATATTCTTGTTAAAGATTCTCTGCTCACAACATTTTAGTTGTGAGATTGTGTATTATTTTGCTTGTTAAGACACCATAATAAAGACCTAAATTTTAGTAATATAGTATGGGAGAGATTTAGAATCTTACTCACTGTATTTTTAATTCTTTTTTCTTCTGTCCAGCCCTCAATAACACTGTTTTTATGGCTCTCATACCAAAATCATAATGATCCTAGAAAACATTAAATATATTTCCTTAACGAGGCTAAAAGAATATAACAATTTCTTAAACAATATTAGACATAAATTGACATATGCACTTGAGAACAAGAAACTCAGTGGGATTGTTTGGATGCCCCTTGATTTGTCCCTTGAACTATATACTTATTATATATAATAAATTACTCCATTTGGAGAAATGCAACCCAATCATAGAATCAAACAAAACAGGTTTGATATAAAAATATATCTAGGTAAGAAATTTGTGAAACCAATCAATGACAGCTCAAACAAGTGAAAGGTAAGGCTATCCTGTGTACTTAACAGCTCATCATAGAATCTCACGGTTGGAAAGGACCTCAGGAGGTCATCTAGTTCAACCCCCTGCTCAAAGCAGGACCAATCCTCAAACAGATTTTTGCCCCAAATCGCCCCCTCAAGGATTGACCTCCCAACCCTGCGTTTAGTAGACCAATGCTCAAACCACTGAGCTATCCCTCTCCCCCACTAAGTGCCTAAGTGAAAAATGTACCCCATGCCTAAGTGAAAAATGTACTAAATTAATTAAAAAAAATCATAGCCAAGTCAAGGATTTTTTGAGGGGGCCCAAGCAATAAATTCACATTATGGAATGAACTCCTGCAAAATCTATTTTTCAATATTAAATGACTGATCATTATTGAGTTGTAAAAGCAAAATAAAAAAAACGGTTACTCACCTTTTTGTAACTGTTGTTCTTCGAGATGTGTTGTTCATGTCCATTCCAAGCAGGTGTGTGTGCGCGCCACGTGCATGCCAGCCGGAAGATTTTACCATAGCAGTGTCCATAGGGTCGGCTTCGGCGCCCCCTGGAGTGGCGCCTTCATGGCGCCGTATATATGGGCCCGCCGACCCTCCACTCCCTCAGTTCCTTCTTCCCGGCACTCCGACAGAGGGGCAGAAGGCTGGGTATTGGAATGGACATGAACAACACATCTCGAAGAACAACAGTTACAAAAAGGTGAGTAACCATTTTTTCTTCTTCGAGTGATTGTTCATGTTCATTCCAAGCAGTGACTCACAAGCCTGAACCTAGGCGGTGGGGTCGGAGGTCACTGCAGACTGGAGTACTGCATGGCCAAAGGCTGCATCATCTCTGGCCTGGCACGTGATGGCATAGTGCGCCGTAAAAGTGTGGATTGAGGACCACATGGCCGCTCTTCAAATTTCCTGCATTGGGACTTTTGCCAGGAATGCAGCGGAGGAGGCCTGTGCTCTTGTGGAGTGGGCCGTGATAGGCGGGGCTGGTATGTTAGCCCGACGGTAACATTCTCGGATGCAGGTTTTAATCCAAGAGGAGATGCGCTGTGACGAGACCGGGAGCCCTTTCATCCTGTCAGCCGAAGCGACAAAAAGTTGGGTTGATTTCCTGAAGGGTTTAGTCCTTTCAATATAGAATGCCAGGGCCCTGCGAACGTCCAGGGAATGCATCCTACGCTCCTTAGCGGAGGAGTGTGGCTTCGGATAGAAGACCGTGAGAAAGATGTCTTGAGACATGTGAAACTGGGAGACTACTTTAGGAAGGAACGCAGGGTGCGGCCTGAGTTGGACCTTGTCTTTGTAGAAGACAGTGTATGGAGGCTCTGATGTCAGTGCTCTGAGCGCCGAGACTCTCCTGGCTGATGTGATAGCCACTAGAAACGCGACCTTGTATGAAAGATATAACAGCGAGCACGAAGCCAGAGGCTCGAAAGGTGGCCCTGTGAGGGCGGACAGGACCAAATTGAGGTCCCAAGCTGGGACTGGGTGACGAGTATGCCGGAACAGTCTGTCCAGGCCCTTGAGGAAGCGACTAACCAATGGATTTGCAAAAACTGAGCTCCCTCCCGCTCCAGGGTGGAACGCTGAGATAGCTGCTAAGTGGACTCGAACCGAAAAGGGGGAGAGTCCTAGTTGTCTCAGATGAAGCAAATAGTCCAGTATGAGAGGGATTGGGGTTAGCAAAGGAGCCTGACCCTGCTGCTCAGCCCAGATGGAGAAGTGCTTCCACTTGGACATGTACGTGGCCCTGGTGGAGGGTTTTCTACTATTGAAAAGCACCTGCCTGACCTGATGAGAGCATTGCATCTCCTCAGGGTTTAGTCATGGAGCATCCAGGCTGTGAGGTGGAGCGACGTGGGCGCCCGTATGGACATGTGCAGGAGCGACGTGTACCAATGTTGGAGCAGCCAGGCCGGCGCTATCGGGATGACACGAGCATGATCCCTGCGAACCTTGAGGATTACCCTGTGAACCATGGGAATCGGGGGAAAAGCGTAAAGTAGGCCGTCTTCCCAGGAGAGGAGGAAAGCGTCCGTCAGCGTCCCCGGACTGCGTCCCATGAGGGAGCAGAATTGCTGACACTTCCTGTTCTCTCTCGAGACAAACAGGTCTATCTGGGGATGGCCCCAGAGTCGGAAAATTGATAGCACTACATCCCGGTGGATAGACCACTCGTGACCGTGGAACGAGCGGCTGAGAGCGTTTGCCAGCCTGTTCTGCTTCCCCGGTAGGTAAGCTGCTGTCAGGTGAATTGTGTTCTGTACACAAAAGTCCCATAATGCGAGGGCTTCCCGGCACAGGGGAGAGGAGCGTGCACCACCTTGTTTGTTGATATAGAACATCGCTGGTGTGCTGTCCGTAAGGATGGAAACACACCTGCCTGCTAGGTGGGGTTTGAAGGTACTGCATGCCAGACGCACCGCTCGTAATTCCCTGACGTTGATGTGTAAAGAAAGGTCCTCTCTTGACCAAAGACCTTGGGTTCTGAGGTTCCCCAGATGCGCACCCCACCCCAGCTCCGATGTGTCCATTACCAGGGACAGAGAGGGCTGGGGGCTGAGAAAGGGTACTCCCGCGCAGACCTCCTGTGGGTCGAGCCACCACTGGAGGGAATCCAGCACCGGTCAAGGGAGCGTTACTACAGAGTCTAGGGAGTCCCTGGCCGGCCGGTACACCTTCGCCAACCAGGACTGAAGCGGGCGCAGTCTGAGCCTGGTGTGGCTCACCACAGAGGTGCACGCTGCTATGTGACCCATCAACTTGAGGCAATTTCTTGCAGTAGTGGTCAGGTAACATTGGAGACTGAGAATAATGTTGGACATGGTCCAGAATCTGGACTCTGGGAGGTACGATCTGGCATGTGTCGAATCCAGGACCGCCCCTGTAAATTCTATTCTTTGGATTGGAGATAATGTGGACTTGGCCTCGTTCAGTAGGAGGCCGAGCTCGAGAAAGGTCTTCCTGATGAAGACCACCTGAGCCTCCACCTGTTCCTTGGCATGGCCCTTGATGAGCCAATCGTCCAGGTAGGGAAAATCTTGAATTCCCTGCTTGCGCAGGAAGGCTGCCACGACTGCCATGAACTTCGTGAAGACCCTTGGGGCTGCTGACAGTCCGAAGGGTAGAACTGTAAACTGAAGATGGGTGTTGCCTACAACGAATCTGAGGTAACGCCTGTGCTGGGGAATTATTTCAATATGAAAGTATGCGTCCTTTAAGTCAAGGGCGGCATACCAGTCTCCTGGATCCATGGAAGGTATGATGGGAGGATAGGGAGACCATGCGGAACTTGAGCTTTTTTACAAACTTGTTTAGACGCCTCCAGAATAGGTCTGAGGCCCCCTTTCACTTTCGGTATTAGGAAATAGCGGGAATAGAAGCCCCTGCCCCTGAACCCCTGAGGAACTTCCTCCACTGCCCCTGCTGCAAGGAGGGACTGCCCTTCCTGAATTAGAAGTTGCTCGTGAGAGGGGTCCCTGAAGAGGGATGGGGAGGGGGGCTGGTGGGGCGGGAGGGAGGAGAATTGGATAGAATATCCCCTCTCTACCATGCAGAGCACCCAACTGTCTGATGTGATTTGGGCCCAAGCACGATAGAAGGGGGACAGATGTGACAAAAAGGTAGGGTTGGACGGATCCAGAGTTGTGACCGGTAGATCGTCCCCGACCGTCCCATCAAAATGGGGGCCTAGGCCCCGGTGGTGGCCTTGGCTGAGCAGACAACGGGCCGGAGGGCTGTTGTTGCTGCCTCCTTCTGCCGGTCCTGGCCCGTCTGTGCAAAGCGTCTGTGTGGTTCTGAGGCTGGTACGGCCGCGGGGCCTGAGGCGGCCTGAACTGCCTACGTTGAGTAACTGGGGTGTGTAAGCCCAGCGATCAAAGGGTAGCCCTCGAGTCCTTTAGGCTATGCAGCCTCTTATCTGTCTTTTCAGAAAAGAGCATCGGCCCTTCGAAGGGGAGATCCTGGATGGTCTGTTGGACCTCATGTGGAAGGCCTGAGACCTGAAGCCAGGCTCCTTGCCTCATGACCAGCCCAGTCGCCAATGTGCGTGAGGCTGCATCTGCCGCATCCAAGGCTGCCTGGAGGGATGCTCGGGTAATTAATTTCCCTTCTTCAACTAGGGCTGAGAACTCGGTTCACGATTCCTGAGGAAGGAGTTCAGTGAACCTAGACAGTGCCGAGCATGTGTTGTGACCATATCGGCTCACTATAGCCTGTTGATTGGCTATCCACAACTGCAGCCCCCCTATGGAGTACACCTTTCTCCCAAACAGGTCCAACTTCTTGGCCTCCCTGTTTTTCAGTGTAGCCCCTTGGAACTCCTGACGCTCCCTTTGGTTGGCCGCATCGACCACTAGGGAGTCCGGCAGAGGGTGGGTATAAAGGTGTTCATGGCCCTTGGAGGGGACAAAATATCGCCTCTCTGTCCTCTTGGCCATGGTGGCTAATGAAGCTGGTGTCTGCCACAAGGTGCGGGATGTGTCCGCAATAGTTTTTATCAGGGGCAGGGCTACCCTGGATGGACCCAACGGGGCCAGGATGTCGACCACCGGATCTGGATCCACCTCGATCTCCTCAGCTTGGATTGAGAGGCTCTGGGCTGCATGTGTAAGTAGCTGTTGGAGGACCCTGTTGTCCTCTAGGGCCGGTGCTCCTGAAGTACCCGACCACCTCATCCGGAGAGGAAGAGGATGCACCTGCAAAGGGCCTTCCTCTATATCCTTGGCTCCAGTAGGGGCCTGCGGCACACGGTACTCTGTTTGCGTGGCCAGTGCGGGTGCAGGGTGCGGCACCGCGGCCGGTACCGGGGTCGACACCAAACGACGAGGTGTGCTGGACGGTGCCTGCAGGGTCAGAACCATGGTCCCCGCCGGTGCTGGTGCCTGACTAGGCAGTGCCGGGGTCTGTTGTGGCACACTCCTGTCAGACGGCGGTGCCGGTGGTGGAGGCATTTGAGCCGGAGCCATCGACATCGATGAGACTGATGTTGTCATAACTATAAAGGGAAGGAACAGGAGTACTTGTGACACCTTAGAGACTAACAAATTTATTAGAGCATAAGCTTTCGTGGACTACAGCCCACTTCTTCGGATGCATATAGAGTGGAATAAATATTGAGGAGATATATATACACACATACAGAGAGCATGAACAGGTGGGAGTTGTCTTACCAACTCTGAGAGGCCAATTAAGTAAGAGAAAAAAAACTTTTGAAGTGATAATCGAGATAGCCCAGTACAGACAGTTTGATAAGAAGTGTGAGAATACTTACAAGGGTAGATAGATTTAATGGTTGTAATGGCTCAGCCATTCCCAGTCCTTATTCAAACCGGAGTTGATTGTCTCTAGTTTGCATATCAATTTCAGCTCAGCAGTCTCTCGTTGGAGTCTGTTTTTGAAGTTTTTCTGTTGTAAGATAGCCACCCGCAGGTCTGACATTGAATGGCCAGACAGGTTAAAGTG